GGGGAGGGAGGGACCCGGTCGGCGGCGCCGCGGGGCCGGCGGCCACGGGGGGACGTGGGGGGCTTGGGGACGTGGAGGGCCGAGGGGACGCAGTGAGGTGGGGGGGGACATAGGGACGTGGGGGATGTAGGGACACAGTAGGACGTGGGGGACCTAGAGGGACATGGTCTTAGGGACATGGGGGGACACAGAGTGATGCGGGGGACATAGGGGACACAGTAGGACATGGCAGATATAGGGGACGTGGAGAGACATGGGCGACAGGTCACAGCAGGACACGGGGGACAGAGGGACATAGGGGACATGGAGGGACATGGATGGACAGGGGCAGCATGGGTCACAGCAGGACACAGGGGATGTGGGGGACCTAGAGGCACATGGAGCGACATGGACATGGATGGACCGGAGGGGACATGGAGAACACAGGGACACAGAGGGACATAGGGGACACAGAGAGGGACATGGGGGATATGGGAGGAACAGCCACACTGGGACACAACAGGATGTGGGGGACATGGATGATGTGAGGGGACGCAGCGGGACATGGGACATGGGGGACATAGGAGACACAGAGGGACGTGGGGGACACAGGACACTGGGACAGAGCAGGACATGGGGGACACGGCCGACGTGAGGGGATGCAGCGGGACATGGGGGACACAGGGAGGGACGGGGCGATGGGTGACACAGAGGACACGGAGATGAGGGGGACACAGGAGATAAGGGGGGGACAGGGACAGCAGGAGGACATGGGCAGAACCGGGGAGATGCAGGGATGGGGGACGCGCGAGGTCCCCATGGCCGCATCTGTCCCCTCCCCGTGGCCTTATCCTCTCCCCCATGGCCACCTCCGTCCCCAAGGCCTTGTCCCCATCCCCGTGGCCACCACCGTCCCCTCCCCACGGCCACCTCTGTCCACCTCCCCTGGCCTTGTCCCCATCCTGTCCCTGTCCCCTCCTGGGGCTGAGCCCTGGTAGCCCTGTCCGCTCTCTCCATCCCTGTCCCCACACCTTGTCCTTCTCCCTGTCCCCATGGCCATGTCCAGCGCCCTGTCCCTGTCCCCAGCACCCTGTGCCTGTGCTGGTCCCCATGGCCATCCCAGTGCCTGTCCCTAGCACCCCATGCCCGTGGCCGTGGTGGTCCCCATGGCCATCCCCCTGCTGGTGGCCATGGCTATCGTGGTCCCCATGGTGGTCCCTGTGGTGGTGCCCATGGCCAATGCTGTCCCCATGGCCACCCCCATGCTGGTGCCAGTTCCATGGCCATGGGGACCACCCCCTTTGCTGGTGTTGGTGCCCATGGCCATGGTCATCCCCATGGTGGTCCCCATGGCCAGCCCCTTGCTGGTGTTGGTGCCCGTGGTCATGGCGATCCCCACAGTGGTTCCCATGGCCATCCCCACTGCCCGTGGCCATGTTCAGCCCCATGGGGGCCCCCATGCCCAGCCCCTTGCTGGTGTTGGTGCCCGTGGCCATGGTCATCCCCATGGTGGTCCCCATGGCCAGCCCCTTGCTGGTGTTGGTGCCCGTGGCCATGGTGGTCCCCACAGTGGTTCCCATGGCCATCCCCATGCCGGTGCCAGTGCCCATGGTGGTGGGGGTGCCAGGAGTGGCAGCCAAGTGACTCCAGTGAAGCCTGGCTGCAGCACCCTGTCCCTATCACCTTCCCCGTCCCCAGCACCCTGTCCCTATCCCCATGCCCATCACCACCCCTGTCCCCAGCACCCTATCCCCATGGCTATGCCTGTCCCCATGGCCATCACCAGCACCCAATGCCCATGGCCGTGGTGGTCCCTGTGGAGGTCCCCATGGTGATGGCAACGGTGAGGGCACTGGGGGGTGGTGGCCAAGTGACTCCAGTGAAGCCTGGCCCCAGGACCCTGTGCCCAAACCCGTCCCTGTCCCCACCACCCCATCCCCATCCCCACCACCCTGTCCCCATGCCCATCCCTCTGGCCATCTCCAGCACCCCATGGCCGTGGTGGTTCCCCATGGCCATCCCTGTGGCCGTGGCAGTCCCCACGGCCATCCCCAT